AAAACTATTTAAAGATATAAAAAGAAGGCTACAAATCTTCTAAAGCATCAGTAGAGAAATTTAAAATAAAAGAATAATGGTCAAGAAAGATGCCCATGTAGCTGAATTACTTGGAGGAAATGGAAATAGAATGTTTCCAGATGAAAATACAGAGTAATGTTTAGAATTTCACAATCACAGGGAGATCAAATAAGAATGTGGGCAAGGGGCTGGATTGTGAGACTCATTTTTGTCAGTATAATTTTCATGTTCATTATTGATTTCTTCCTCATGTTTTATCTTGAACAGTTACACAGTTATAGAAATTTGGAATGGAGTAATATACCAATATGCCCTAGGATAGCTATACACCATTCACCCAAACTCACTAAATGCATATATACATAGTATGATCTGCACAGATGTATTTTTAAGTTAATATAAACTAGTTTTACATTAAATCATTATTCTGATAGAAAACAACTTAAGTATTACAGATTACAGGTTGAAATAAGTTAGAAGTTGCACTCAGTTTCACTGAAGGGTTGTAACAAAACTCCATTTGGATAGTCCTAATGATATAAAGACATGTAATAATGAAAAAAGATTGTGTTAAAGTTTACTTGTCGAGCATGACAAATAGAAATTTTTACAGGTGGATGGTATAATTATACTTTGAAAGAATGATTTAGCTGATTACAGAAAAAAAGTCATAACATTATTTTACTATTTACTTTCATCTTGAGCATCCTTTGTTAAATTTTACCTGGATAGTTACAACAAACAAAATTTGACTCTTCTATAATTTAGCGTTCTTTCAGCTTACATTAAATTGGATAAGAATAAAATGAGTAAGTGCTTATTATTATAAGTGCCAATTATTATGGTGGTAACAGTTTACACATATGAAGAAGCCAATAATATTCTCCCTAGAGGAATTATTGCTTTTTCTAAGAAAAACATGGGTACCATAACTATAAAATAAGTTGTAATATTCACACTACATGTGAGTGAGGAGTTTGCTTTAGCTTTGGTTCCTCCTTTTCTTTGGGCAGATTATTTTACTTTTCCTCTGTTGAATGTTTTTATTGGGAAGGAACTCTCTGAAAAGACAATGAAAGCATGAAGTAAATTCTACACTTTTTAAGCCAAAATCAATAATCTGATATTGGTGAAGACGTTAATATGATATGAACATGTATACCTTGGATAAATCACTTACACTGAATACTAAACTGGTAAGATAAAGGGTGTGGAATTTCAACTACTACAGAGTTTGTGTAAATATACGTTTATAATTGTTTAATTTCAGCCCTAGAAATTGTACATCCACACGCAAGTGTGTATCCAGATCCTCTGGCTGCAAAGTTCTGGTGTTATCAAATGGATTTCTCTGACCGAAAGACCTAAATGTGTCTCCCCTAAAATATTGGTCCATGAGACCTAACAGGCAGTAAGGCTTCAACAAAGCAGGAAGAGCTATGAAATTTAGGACATTTTTGACTGCTTTAAATGATTACTTATCAATCCACTGAGTTAAAAAGGAACGATATGCATTTCTCCTTTATCAATAGAGCCTTAATGAGAAATATTTTCTTATTCATTATTTTAAATGTAATTTTCCTTTATACTACCATAGTAAAGAAATTTAATATTTTAATTATCTTAAGAAATTCAATATTTATCAGGGATTATTTTTGCTTGATTAACTAATTTACTTTTTCTCCATATGGTAGATCCATGAAGTAAACACTTGATAAAGAACAGAGCTGCGTATGAGGTTCATTTCATTTTAAACACAGGCAAAGGGGTAAGTTATATAATTAAGAAAGCTGTTCTCTGGATAGTATCCATAAGAAAGCTAATCTTGGCCAATTTAATGTCTCAAGATATTAATTTTTCTTGTAATAGTGCCTTTTAAAATTTTATAAATTTACTACAATATATTCTTAAACTGAATATATAAAGATGTAGAAAACTGAAATTGTGCTTCTGTAGAGCCTTGATCTTTGTGAACTGACAGGTTAGATGTTTTTGCTTCAGTTTTTAATTCATTCATTAAACACCCACTGATTGAATAATTATATCCAAACACATCATTGTTAGCATAATCATTTTCTTTCTTAAATTTCATGACTTTAATATCATGAAAATACTTTCTATTTTTCTCTGAAACATGGTACAGATTTTGGCTATGTGAAGGAAGAGTAAAATCATCCAACAATAACATCAGAGATTCTTATTAAATACCACAATGGGAAGAGGGATGGGAGGGTGGTCAGAGTGGATAAAGGGGATAAAGAGGTGCAGGCTTCCAATTATAAAATAAATTAGCCATGGATATGAGAGAAAGTATATGGAATATAATAAATGGTATTGTGGAATACTTGTACATTATCTACAAATAGTCTCTACATTTGTCATAGTGAGCATTTAGCAAAGGATATCATTGTCAGATCACTATGTACACTGAAAACAATACAAAGTGTACATTAACTACATTTCAATTAAGTAAGGCTAAGGGGTAGTAGCCCTCAGGTAGCTATTCAATATTTTATTAGTTTTATGTAATATATAAGAAATAGTAAAATTTTTTAAAAGATTGACATCCAGAATAATTTCTGCAGTTTTCAAAAGACAGACAGGCCAGCAGAAAGGCAGTGAGAAGGGAGGATACCAAGAAAGAATAGAAAGGAAAAGAAAAGAAGGCAAGTTACACAGAAATTTTGTATTACAAAACACGATTGATAATAATTTGATTCATCTGTATAAATAAATCTTTACAGGTAATTTGTATCATTTATGCTATACATTTAATCTTATCAAATATATTATTAATAATTTCCAGTAGATAAAATAAGTATGCAGGTTGAACCACTGAAAATGTTTATATTTTATTTTCTAATCATCTTTCTTCTTTTCTACCATACCCATGTGGTATTTATAAAATAGAGTTTTCAAAGTGACAGAAACATATAGAAGTAATGATTTTTAGGCCTTCAGTTAAAATTATTGTAAATACAAATACAATTCAAAAATTAAATGTCTTAGTATGACCAAGGGCTTCAATGGTACAAAAATTTGTACCCTCATATATCCTTGAATAATTACACCTGTGATGACATGTTTGTTTTAAGGACAATGGGATTCAAATATCATGTGAATAAATTTGTTTCTAGTTTCACTTACATTTAAGACACTACAGACCTAGTTTCATTTTTTTTGTTTTTATTTTTTTAAAAGCAGAATTAATTTTTTTTTTGAGAGGGCCCTTCTCATATTTATTAATCAAATGGTTGTTAACAACAATAAAATTCTGTATAGGGGACTCAATGCACAACATTAATCAACCCCAAGCCTAACTCTCAACAGTCTCCAATCTTCTGAAGCATAATGAACAAGTTCTTACATGGTGAACAGTGCAAGGGCAGTCATATCACAGAAACTTTCGGTTTTGATCACACATCATGAACTATAAACAATCAAGTCAGACCCTGGAAGATGGCTGGTTAGCCAGAGATGGGTAAGATTCCTCAAGGGAGGAACAACCTAAGACAGGCACAGTTGCAGGGGGGCCATCAGGTGAGAAATTGGAGGTCAACAGAGGTGAGGCTTAAAACCTCACCCCCCCTGTCTTGAGAGGAATCTTCTGCATCCGTGGATGTTTCGTTGCCCTTGTCTAGCTTGAATTAATAGTCTATAGGCACAGACCTAATCATCTACACTTGCCTTCTTACAGCACTAGTTTGATTTTTTAAGAAATATTGATGACATACAATATTACATTGGTTTCACAGAAACACCCAAATGACCCCAAAATGCTGCCCATGAGCAAACATTCACCACGGTGAGTGTGGCTGCTGTGTCCCCACGGAATCACACTGCAGCACTGTGAGCTCTGGTGCCTGGGCTGTGCCTCCATCTCTCTGATTGGATTAACTTAATATGAAAAATTTGTACATCTCGTCCTATACATATAAACATCTGCATAGCCAGTGGTAACCAGCAGTCTTTTCTCTGTATTTATGAGTCTGTTTATGTTTTGTTCATGTCTGAAAGATAACTTAAATTTTTTAAAATGCAATCATTCTGGAAAACATTTTAAAATTCATACTTAAATGAATAGAATTCTAATTTATAAAAGCACTTCCATATTTATTCTCATCAACACATTTTTTTCTAAGCAGGAGACACACCACTCTTTTCCACAGAAAAAATTTTGGTAATTATTCTTTTTTATATGTCTTCTCATTGCTCCAGTTATTAAAATATATGCCAGTGTTTATTTATTATTGTTTGTGGCCTTTTTGTTGTACATATAAGTGAAATCAGGGGGTAGGAGGAGGACTGAAAAAGGTGAAGGTGATACAAAGGTACAAACATTAAATAATAAAATGAATTTTTCATAAGAATGGAAGTGCAACACAGAGAATATGACCAATCATATAGGTATATCGGGGTAACAGGGGGATCTATGTTTACTGTGGCAAGCATCCAGTGTTGTGTGTAATCATTAAGTCACTCTGTTGTACATCTAAAGTGAACATAATATTGCATAAAAAGTATATTGCATAAGAAATTATATCCCTTGTAAAATACATAGCTTCTGCCTTAGAGGTGCTTAGAATTGAGATAGTGCATAAAATTATACACACTGAAACCCTAGAAACAAAATGAGTAAATGACCAAGTAGGTGTGAAGAAAACACAGGTAGCTCTCAATGAATTGTGAAATCCCAAACACTGGGGAAAGGCCAACAATGATTTTTACTGAGAAGGTGAATTGTTAAATGTCTCCTCAGGATCTCAGAGGGCTTCCTTAGTGAGAGGATCTGAAGATGAATATTGAAAGAACAACATGGGACCAGGAGATTTTAACTTTTATTAGTTCTAATAATTGGAATATTTAATTAATTAAGGCTAACATATTCATCACCAACCACACACAATAATTTTTAACTTTCTATAAATTGTTCCCTTGGCTTTTTTCTCTAACCCATTTGTTGACTTCCTTCCCTCCAGAGAGACCCCTGTGGAGAAAGGGGGTGGACGGCTACAATCTCACCCCCGTGACTCACTTTATCCTCACGGGGCTCTCTGACCTCCTGAGGTGCACTATCCTGTCTTTGTGTTCTTTGCCGTCACCTACCAGGTCACCTTGGTGGGAAACGGGGCCATTCTCTTGGCCATCGGGATGGAGAAGAAGCTGCGCACACCCATGTATAACTTTCTGGCCAATCTGTCCCTCTTAGACATATTCTTCCCATTAGCTACTGTCCTCAAGATGCTGGACAACCTCTTGACTGGGAATCACAGCATTTCCTTCCTGGGCTGTGCTTTGCAGCTTTATTTCCTGGCGGCCCTGGCGGGGACTAAGGTCTTCCTTCTCACTGTCATGGCTTATGACCAGTACGTGGCCATCTGCTTCCCCCTCCATTACACCCTCATCATGACCAACGCTCGCTGTGCCCAGCTGGCAGCTGGGACCTGGGCAGAAGCTTTCTCAATTCCCTCCTTCACAAAGTGTCCACCTTCCACCTGTCTTTCTGCAAGTCCAATCGGGTTAACCAGTACTACTGTGACATCCCCCCAGTGGTGGCCCTCTCCTGCTCATTTACCTACATGGCAGAAATGCTTGTTTTTTCGGTATCAATTATCTTTGGAATTGGTGCCTTCCTAACTACCATCGCCTCTTATACTTACATCATATCCACAATCCTAAGGATTCAGTCAGTCGAAGGGAAATGCAGAGCCTTCTCCACATGTGCTTCCCACCTCCTGGTCATTGGGTTGTTCTATGGGACAGTAATATTCACCTACCTTTGCCACTCCTCCAACCAACACTCCCCAGCCAGGGCCAGATTCATCGCCATGCTCTACGGGGTTATGACCCCAATGCTAAACCCCATGATCTACAGCTTGAGGAACACGGAGCTGAAAGGGGCACTCAGCAGTGTCTTAAGTCCCTGAGCATGTTTACAGTAATTGTAGCAGTAACAGAATGAGTCAATACTTATTTTAGAATACATTTATAAGAGGAATATATAGAAAATAATTTTTAACTGACACATAATAAATACCTACATATACACTGTATTTTATGAACATGCAAACATACAGGTAAGTTTAATCCTATCCATCTGTATGGGTATACGTCTATCTCTCTCAAAGGGGAACTTAAAAATGTATTGTCCCCAAACAGACATTTCTATAAGTAGCAGAGAAAATTAATCACACTATGATAAGAGGAATAACATGAACACATCTTTTAAGTTAACTTGGGTCTTTGTTCACATCTCTATCCATATCTATAGCTATACCTATACTATCTTTATTTTTATATCTACTTCAAATCAATATCTAAGCATCTATCCATGATGTCTGATTTCTTTGCCTCTTGTGATTGACTGCCTATGCTGAAAAATCTCCATAACATTATCACTTCCCTTATCTTGTCTTTCAATTTTTGCTGCCTCTTACTCTATAGATCTCTGCCTTTCTCCTTTTTAAGGTAACTCTGTCCATTCTCAGATCTACCTGTCTCTCCAAGAAGAGGGCTTACTTTCTCTCTGATTTACTTGTATAATTCAGTTCATTGTCTTATTGTCTTAACTTTAGCATTTTCAAAACTGAAAGCAACATCTTCTAACACACACATACATGCACAAACACACCTTCTTATCAGCTGCCATTTATTTTTGGTACCAATTGTTCCCAATTACACAGACTAAAATATCTGAAACTGGACTGTGCCTCAAAGACCAGCCCTTCTGTTCAGTGTGATTAGAGAGCTGCTGGTTCTGATGGGATGCTGTGACTTTCTGACTTCACACCCTTTCCCTGTCACCTCTAGAAATGAGAATGTTTTCTCTGTGTGCTAATACTGTGTTTCTTTGCTTTATCTGCAATCATGGATCATTTCCTCCATAGTTTTCTTCAACCTGGGGATCCCAGTTACCTTCCAGTTTTCGTCCCCAGTCATATGTTCTCTCTGCATTTCTGATTCTCTTTCCACTCTTTAGCATTCATTTTCTTCTCTCTTCCTCTTTTCTGCATTCTGTCCTTCCTTTATCACTATTGAATTGTTCTCAAACTATTTAAAGACATCCTGTTAACTCCTTCTCTGAACTGTTATTAATTTTCCAAGTCATTTTCAAATCTTTATGAAGTGATTGCCTCATCATACATACTTGCTCCACATCAGCTAGGCTGTGTGCACGCCTCCTGCCAGGCTCAGCATGGCCTTGAAATACATCATCTGCAGCATTGCAGGGCTCTTCAGAGTAGTGGCAGGTCAATTGCCTGTCATTTGATTTTATACAGTTGGAAAATCCATATGGTCCTGAGGAAGGAAATAAAGTAATAGTACTTTTTTAGTATTATAAATCTTATATTTGTTTTGCTATTTCATTTTATTACCTGTCATATAGTTTTCATGTGGTATGAAAGAATTCAGCCCACATTGTATAAAATAATAATGCATGAATATTTTTAAATATATTGCCATGTAAAATTGAATAAAATCTTAAAAACTCAACAATTTGTTTATTTTAGTTTCCAAATACACAAATATTTGTTTAGTATTTCACCCCATATTAGAATGTAATACTCTTTGTGATCTGGGTGGTTTAACTGTGTTGAACAATCACCCTCTAATTCTGAACTATTTTCTCTTCTTTAAAATTTAAGATAATCTGAGAAAACCTGACCAAAAAAGTTGCAAATTTCTGAACAAATTCTCATTTGATGTATCTGTCACTTGAGCAGCCATGTGGATGCATATTCAAGTGTCAAAACAGCCCCCTGTAAATAACAAGTCACACTAGACTTGTTGATAAATTTTTTGTTTTACTAATCAGTATGTATTTATAATATGGCAACTTATGTTGATTACTTTAAAACTAGACTGACAGCAACCATACATGAAAGACGCATCAGGAAGTTGAAAGTTTAGAAAGAATAAACCTGATGGCAGTGGGGTATGTAGGACTCAGCAACAAAATGATGGCATCAGCTCTAATTCCAAAGAAACCATGATTTCAGTTGACTGCTGCGGCTGCTTGCTGAGCGCTGCTTCTTCGACACCAGAACAGGGGCGTGCGGTTGCCATGGCATCCTGTAGCCAGTCAGACACATTATTACTCTTGTACTTGGGTCCGTTATATTCTGGGTACAAACCCTGACATTTCTGTGTGGCTGAGCAAACCACTCCAGATCAGTCATGGGCTGGAGGGTGACCAAGATGTTACAGTGCTGGAATCACTATTTTAAACCATCTTCACAGTACTGTGGATTCTATCACCACATACTATACAGTAATGTCAGTATTTCAAAATGGTGCATATAAAATATGAGAGCATGTGACTTTTAATTATTAAAAGGAAAAAGGGCATCATCCATTTGATGAGAATAAACATAACATATGAGATTTATTTTTACTTCTCAGCTGTTTATCTCACAGCTAGGAAACAATTTGAGGCTATCAAATTATAGACCTGTACACTAAGATTTGTGCATTTTATTGTATATACATCAATAAATTGACAAGAATGAGAAAAAAGTATCTAAGATTCAATAAAAAACTGTTGAATCCATAAACTAAGTAAACTCACAGAATACAAATATAAATATCTAATGCATTTTGATGCATTAATAATTAGCTGTCTATAAAAGAAATGATATTCCCATTTAAAATAGCAACACAAACTTACTTTAAATAAGTTGAACCAAGGAAGCGTATGATCATTACACTGAAAAGTGTAAGACTTTGAAAAGTGTAAGACTGATGAAAGAAATTTAAAATATACAAATACATATAAAGTATCCAATTATAATGTATTCAAATAATTCATATTGTTAAAATGTAAATCCTACCCAAGGCTATCTATAGATTCAATGTAATTCCTATCAGAATTCCGATGTCCCATTTCACAGAAATAGAAGTCAAAACTCTCTTCATCATATGGAATAAAATAGAACCTTAAATTGCAGAATACTGAGAGAAGATCAAAGTAGACATAACTTTTTACAATTCTAACTATATCACAAAAATACATTATTCAAAACATTATGTTCATGAAAATGTGTAACAACAGACACATAGGCCAATGGAATAGAATCAAGATCCCAGATAGGAGCATCCCTGGATGGACAGCTAATAAAACAGCCAAGAAGCACGGTGGAGAAAGGATAGTGTCATAAGTAGAGGTGATAGATATGCTGACCCACCTTATGATGGCAGATATTTCACAGCATATATGTATATCAAGCTGTTATTTTGTACACCTAAGCCTTATACAGTGTTACATCAACTATATATCAGTAATGTTAGGGAAAAATGATGCTATTATAAATTACGTGTTTTCATTTCTCCACAATAATTCCTATATCTAAATGTTCCATTCTAAATCCAATGTAAATTCAAATTACATATTGTTCCCAAGAATTTGTTAATAAGTAGCATTTTAATTTATTTTCAGAGTACTTCCATGTAAATGATGTAGTATGAGTAAAGGACTGCCCTGATGAAGACTTTCTCTCTCAAAAAATAATTTCTACTGCTGATAGCATTTTATCCTTTCAAGTTTATTGTTTACGGGAACAGTATTATATGGAGTGACAGATGAGTAAGAAAGAAGCAGGAAAATCCTTGAGCAGTAGGAGGTGGAGACTGTAGGAGCAAGTCCAAAGAACAGAGGGAGGAGGGGAAATAGGTACCTGCAGGAGAAGAAACGGAAATTTTCACAGTTCTATACATTATATTTCAACATCAAACTGATTTTCTTGGTTATATTAATGTCTTTCCCTAGTAGAATGTGGACATGACAAAGATCTGTGCTGTTTCTTTTTTGTTGTTGTTATCATTAATCTACAATTACATGAAGAACATTATTTTTATTAGGCTCTCCCATTCACCAAGTCCCCCCCCCACAAACCCCATTACACTCACTGTACATCAGCATAGTAAGATGCTGTAGAATCACTACTTGTCTTCTCTGTGTTACACAGCCCTCCCCATTCCTCCCCCCCCACATTATACATGCTAATAATAATACCCCCTTTCTTCTTCCCCACCCTTATCTCTCCCTACCCTCCCATTCTCCACAGTCCCTTTCCCTTTGGTAACTGTTAGTCCATTCTTGGGTTCTGTGATTCTGCTGCTGTTTTGTTACTTTAGTTTTTCTTTGTTCTTATACTCCACATATGAGTGAAATCATTTAGTATTTGTCTTTCTCCATTTGGCTTATTTCACTGAGCATAATACCCTCTAGCTC